GCTACCAAGTTTTACTCAATCGGTCTTTCTCCCCGCTCTTCCGCTATCTGCCAGTGACGGGCGAAGACGAGGCTGCGATTCGAGACGAGGTCTTCCACCAGGAGCAGCTTCGACGATTTGGCATGGTCGAAGAGACTGATCAGGACACTGACGGCGCTGATGCCGAGAAACGCCTGGATGGGAGCATCGGCGACTCTCGTGGCAGAGAAGACGACGAGATTGAGCTTCAGGGACTTTCACGCAATGATACGAAGAAACGAGGACACAACCCTGTCAAGGGCGTTCGCAACTTGGCGGTCAAGGGAGGCCAAGGTCTTCGCAATGCTGCCACGTGGAAGAAAGTGGAAGCGCCTTCGGCCGTGAGAAATGCGGCGTACTATCGCAGACATCAACGTCAGAAAGATCTGGAGGCTCAGCGTGCCATAGGAGAAGCGCTGTACGGGGGCGTCGCCGACGAGATTGAGGATTTGATGCCTGAAGAGAGGAATGCACTGGTGCAGGAATCTTTTAAGCATACGGCACTTCGAGCCCGCATGCCGACTGTCTGGATTCCTCGCGATGACCTGGGCGTCAGCGACGACGAGATTCGGTTGACGAGAGAGTACACCGAAAACATCCACATCAGCAACGAGGGAACCGCACTGGATAGTAAGGTCCGGGTCGTATACGGGCGGAATCCTCCTGACTTCTCTGAGGTTGATCTGATTGACCTCTAAGCGGGAAATTGCAATTTCTTACTTCATGACACGACGACGAGTTTGGCCTTTTCGGCATTTCGCGTTACAGACGGACCAAGCCATGCTTGACAGGGCACCACAGGCCGTTTGAGCATACTTATACCCCGGCGCATGGGGTGTTTCATAGCATACATAGGAATAGGATGATCTGCTTTATTTTCTTTGATTTCAAGATGATTACAAACTCACGAAAGTTTGTTCGGCATATGATTCGGCAGCGCCCGCATACGACGCAATTAATCATGACGTGATGGATCATATCCCCCGCACGAGATTCCCGATCAACCTGTCGTCCTTTGCCTCACACGCACAGCAATATCCACTTCATCCCCTATTCCTCAGAACACTAAACACCGATTGTCGGTTTTGGAGCACGAATCGCTACGATGACACACACTGGCCGAGCCACTGCCACCGTCAACGGTGTCACCGTTGCCGAGACTACCGACTGGGAGGAGGTAGAGGGCAACGTGTATTTCCCGCCCGGATCGCTAACGCGCGAGCTCTTTGAGGGTCCGACGGGACATTCCACGCACTGCCCGTGGAAGGGGGATGCACAATATTACAATGTCAAGATTGGTGGTTCGTCCCCTCGCGGCGCTGTTTCATGACTTTTGAGATGAACAGCTGCGCCTGGGTTCTGGTGCCAAACGCTGACATGTTCGCAGACACAAAGCTGGAGAACGCGGCTTGGTATTATCCTGATACGAAGGACAAGGCGAAGTATTTTGAAGGCTATGTTGCTTTTTGTACGTTGTCAGACCCAAACCTCGCGTGCTAGGACTGACTGGCGATAGACAAGAGCAAAGTTGACATCAAGACGGAATAACCATGCCGCAGACTGCAGGAGCATACATGGGAAGGAGCCCCGGAGAGTATCCTGACGGATGAGCTGCGAATGAGAAGCTGTTAAAGAGGGACACAGGCCAGCATGACCGGGGTGGCCAGTCACACTTGGGTCGAATGTGCAGCGTTCGGCCATGTTCTTCAATATTCTTCCGCGCTGTCTATCGTATATTAAACCTCGACGAGCTGCTCTTCCTCGTCCTCCACCTCCTTGACCCTGGACTCTGCATCTGGCTCCTCGTCCGCCATCAACACCTGCACCAGCCTGTCGCATGCCTCTCTCACCTCCTCATCATCCACCCGCGAGTGCGTCTCCCGGATGATGGGATACACCTTGGCCTCCCTCATGAGATCGCGTCCGTCCCTCGTCGTTGTCAGCAGCATCAGCGTCTCGATATGCGTCTGCATGATCCGCGGGTCCGTGTCGCGCTTCTTGTCCGGCGGCAGCAGCTGCAGGTCGGGCAGCATGCCCATCATGTCGTCCTCGTCATAGTCCTCGTCGCCCATGATGGGCAGCAGGATGTACGGCAATATGTCAATGTCGTCGGTGGCGAGAAAGGTCGGGTGCGCCGCGACCTCAAAGGCGGCGTTCTTGATGGTGCTCGCGACGCCCTTGCGGCGGATGTCCGACTTGTGCTCGGTGAAGACGCGGAGCTTGGCGAGGGGCACGACGTCGTCGTAGGCCTGCTTGGTGACGAGGAACTGGCGAATCTCGGTGTGCTTGGCGAGGTCGGCGAAGAGGTAGGCGAGGTAGTCGTAGTCGGCGGTCTTGTTGTAGGTGCCCTCGGCACCCTTGACGAAGAGGTCGAGGAGCTGGTTGATGACCATGTCATTGGACTGGAGCGCCTCGGGAGCCGGCTGCTTCTTGTTGAAGATTTTCTTCAGGCCATCCCATTTGGCGAGGTTGGCCAGGAGCATGGCCAGTAGGTTGGCGTTGGGTTCTGTCGGTTTCTGAGGAAGGGGGGAACAAGGGAGAAGGGGTCAGTCTCCACGGGTTCGTTCAGTGGGAGTTTTATGGTTTGACTTACGACGACCCTCGCGAGAACGGCGTCCACGAACTTGTCGTTGGCGGCAAGAAGTTCGAGAACGTCTTGCTCGCCCGACAGGTTGACCAATATTGTGATGGCATGTTCGGCAATTTTCTTTGAAAAGTGTGAGCATCTGTCCAATACATTGACCGAGTGCGCGCAGGTCTCTTACTGGGTGATCTTGCGTCAATAATGTGAGATTCTTGACTGGCAGCAAGTTCTCAGTCTTGAAGACGGCCGGATGTGTTGTTGAGTATGGAATGAGATTCTCTACGGCGAGAAGCCGAATCTGGGGGCTGGCGCTGGCGATGAAGCCGACGAGCTGGCGCATGTCAGTCATGACCGGCACGGCGAGCCAAGAGGACCTATCGCTGGCTTACATACCTCCTCTAATTCTGTGGGCATGTTCAGAGACTATGATGCTTGTGGCCTCTATGGATGAAATAGAGAGTGTAAGGGAACGACGACGTGTAAATAGAGCAGAGATTGGGTGGACTGTTGCTGCATGACGTTTTACTCACAAGATGATGAGTTTGAGGCGACGAAGTGAATCGAATGCCATGGTGGGGGGTTTGGCGGGGGCGCATCGAAGGACGTCAGTCGTGGGAAATACGAGATACCCATTGGACAAAAGCTGCGCAATTCTCCACTTATTCCCTTCCCGAACTGAGGGCACTAATCGCGGGGCAAGTGCGATAAGAAAAAAATAAAAAAATCTGGATCGTGCTATCAACATCGCAAGCCGACTCCACGACGAGTGCCTGATTGAGCCCCCTTCACATCGCCGGGACACCTGATTCGACCGCGCAAAGAACCATCTCGACGACCAGAGACCGACGGCACAGACATCATGGGCAAGGCAGCGCCATCCACCGACCGTCAAGCGCGGCGCCACAACCCTCTCCAGGACGACATCCTCGCGACCGGCATCCTGAAGAACAAGGCGCCCAAGGTCAAGAAGGGAAAGAAGACCAACGAAGACGACGAGAATTATGTCGACAACAAGCAGAGCCAGAACATCCTGAGGTTGGGCCGCGAACTTGCCGAGGAGGATGAGGGGCCGAAACCGGCAGCCAAGCCCACGGTCGACATGTTCGGCATTGAGGCGAGGTACGGGTATCGAGGCGCCCGACGAGGACCGCCAGTACGATGACGACGAGGCGTGGGGCGACGAAGACGAGGTCGTAGAGGAGATCGAGTTGGACCCTGAGGATCTCGAGATGTACCGCAAATTCATGCCCGACGCAGGCGAGGAGCCGTCGGACATGCTGAAAGAGGCCGGCTGGGGCACCAAGGGTGGGGACGACGACATGGGCGGCGGCGGCGGCACCAATCTGACCGAGCTCATTCTTGACAAGATTGCCGCACACGAGGCCGCCGAAGCGCGTCGGGAGGCTGGTCTGCCGGTAGACGATTATGAGCTCCCCCCCAAAGTCGTCGAGGCCTACACCAAGTAAGTATCCGCCGAGCGGACAGTGCCGAAACCGCAGACTGACAGCAGTGCAGGATTGGCCAGATCCTCTCTCGCTACAAGAGTGGCGCCCTCCCCAAGCCCTTCAAGATCCTGCCGACGCTGCCGCACTGGGAGGACATTATCGAGGTGACCGAGCCCGCCAAGTGGACGCCCAACGCCGCGTACCAGGCGACGAGGATATTCACCGCCTCGACCCCCGCCACGTGCCAGAAGTTCATGGAGATTGTCATGATCGACAAGGTGCGCGAGGACATCTACGAGACCAAGAAACTCAACGTCCATCTTTTCAACGCCCTCAAGAAGAGCCTGTACAAGCCCAGGGCCTTCTTCCTCGGCTTCCTCTTTCCGCTGCTGTCCAGCAACTGCACGCTGCGCGAGGCACACATCATCTCGGCTGTCCTCGCCCGGGTGTCGGTCCCCGTTCTTCACTCCGCCGCTGCCCTGAAGGGCATCACGGAAATGTAAGCCATCACCGTGCCATGAGCGAGGCTCGCGAGAACCCCCCCACGCTGACAGGACGATAGCGCCGCGCAGGAGGCGTCGCAGGGCACCGAGGGTGGTGGTGCTGCCAACGTGTTCATCAAGACGCTCTTGGAGAAGAAGTACGCCCTGCCCTACCAGGTCATCGACTCGGTCGTCTTTCACTTTTTGCGTTTCCGCAGCGTGGATCCCGCCTCGGTGAAGGAGGGCCAGGCCGTGTCTGGCGACATGGTCAAGTCTCTGCCCGTCATCTTCCACCAGAGCCCTTCTCTCTTTCGCACAGCGCTACCGCAACGATCTCAGCGAGGACCAGCGAGAGGCGCTTCTCGATCTGCT